AAGGAAGGAAGGAAGGAAGGAAGGAAGGAAGGAAGGAAGGAAGGAAGAAGGAGGAGGAGGAGAGAGAGAGAGAGAGAGAGAGAGAGAGAGAGAGAAGAAAGAATTAGAGTCCTAAATAAGTGCGAAGAATTGTACTGCCAAGTATCCCGATGTGTGACTCTGTAATCTCTGCTCGCTGGTTCGCTGGCCTGTGTGTGTGCGCGCACGCGTGTGATCCGATGTCTCTCGGTGTGTGACTTTTTAAAGAAGCGTCTGGGCGACCCTGCTCCTCCCAGCCCACTTCTCTTCTTTGTTTCTACCAATATCGTATTGCCCTGACTCTTTGTCTCGTAATCTCTCGAGGTGTGTGTATGTATGTTTGTGAAAGTGTGTATGGGGTGGGGGGGTGGGGGTGGGGGGAGAGTCCGGAAGAAGAGGGGACTTGGCGGGGGAGGAGGGTTAAACTGGGCGCGAAGGGAGTGTCTAGTTAGCTTTTTCTCATCCCGGTTCTGGCACTTCTTTGGTCCCTCTGGTAGTGACGACCTGTTTCGAATTGGTCCCAGACCAGGAAACCGTGTCTGATATTCTTAGCGACCTACAAGTGCCGTAACCGCGAGAGAAAAGTGAGTGTTTGATGTATTTATAAAAGTGGTTGGGACAGCTAGGTTGGGGGTGGGGGTGGGAGGGGTCTCGGGTGGGGTTTGACTATCTTTGAATCTTGAACTGGGGCAGGGGAGGGAGGGTTCCTGGGCCAGGTTGGAGGGATCTTGGCGACTTTTGAGTGATCTTGAATCTATTTGACTTGGAGAACCTAGCTCGGGGAATCTAACGATTTTGGATCTTGAGTGTAGGGTTAGATATCCCTGGTTTGAAGGGAATACCCAGTTCTGATGTATTGTAGAAAGAAATCTTTCTTCGTACAATTCATCGGTCCCTTGCTTAGAGGTGAATGAGACCAGGAATCTCACCTTTGATAGAAATAAGAGATCCCTGGTTTAAGCTCATTTGCATAGTGTACATTTGGAAAGATCTCAGAGTTGATGTAATTTGGGGAGAAAATCTTGTCTGAAGTAAAGGTGGGGATAAGGAATCCTCATTCAGATGTAATGAGAAATTCCTGGTTTGAAGTAATTTGCATGGTTTGGATTTGAGGAAGATTTCAGGTTTAGTGCGGTTAGGAAAGAACCTTCACTTGGATGTAACTTGAGGGATCCCTGGCTAATGTATTTTAAATGATGAGAACTGGGGAGGGAAGTGATTAGGGACTTCCCTGCTTTGTTGTATGCTGGAGAAGGGATCCCTAGTTTAATATTGTTTCCATGTGAAAGGTTGAAGGGGTATCCAGGTGTGTGCATTTTAGAAGGAATCTCCTGCCTCCTGTAACTTTGAAGCATCCTCTGGTTTGATGTGTTTGGGCTTCAGTCTGACACAACTAGACATGGGGGTGGGAAGAATCTATTATTTGATGTAACTTGGGGTTTAATCCCTAGTCTGAAGTAAGTTGCATGGTGTGGAGTTTTGAGGTGGGTGAGTTTGTAATTGAGTAGATCTCTGATCTGGTATGGGTTTGAGGGATTTCTGGTCTGGTATGGTGGGACAATCCGTGGTTTTCCTGTGGAGGTATCCCTGATATGGTATAGTGGGGGAGGAGAGAGCTCCAGCTTGATGGGGGAGGTCCCAGGTTTGGGATGGAGGTGGAGGAGAGACCTCACACTGGTGTCTTGTTTGTTAAGTTGTTCATTATTTGAACTTCTTTTCTGTACAAAAAAAATTAAAGATTTTGAATGAAATACATTTTGATCTCCCCTGAGCTTCTTTTTTTCCCCTCTTCTTTCTGAATTGTGTCAAGAAGTAAACACATTTTTTTCTTCATTCTCCTCATAGAGATCCAGAGAAGGAAGCAGAGATGGGGAGGTGACTATGGAAAGACTAATCTTATCTCCCCACCCTGAGAGGAAATCACCAGTTATAGGTATGGGCAGAGCCAGACGGACCCCTACTGAGATATTTGGAGAAGAGATCTCTGTCTTGCAATTCTCTCTAACCTGGTGCTTATCCCTGTCCTTAATGCCAGGAATTCAAACTTCCAGTTTTCCCAGGAGTCTTCCAAGGATCCTGTCAGGTGACTGAAAGGAAGAGAGGGGACAGAAGGAAAACCAAACCTCTACCCTGAGCTCCCAAAATGCTGAGGAGTTGGTCCAGAGCTATCATTTGGATATGTGTGTAATACCTTATACTTCTAGGAGACTGAACTATAGGATAGTTACCAGGCTCCCAGTTTACATAGCTGGAGAGAAGGTAGGGCAGGTGTCACAGTTTTTTGTCTTCAAGTTTTCTGCTTTTAACTTCACTGGAGTTCAGTGTTACAGCATCGGCATTGATGTTCTGGGAATCACTGGACTAAGTAAGGGAATAGGAGAGAGCCAAGAACCAGCAGGAATGTTATCAGATCTAAAGCCTCAGTTAGCATTTGGAGAGATGGGAGGGAATGGTGAGGGAGGGAGAGAGATAAGATAAAGGAAAATAGGAGCAGTGGGGAAATGAGAGGAGGAAGAAATAAAGGCAAGAGGGATGGAAAAATAATGTAATTGGAGAATAGAAGAAATATAATAACTGACATTCATACTGTACTTTAAGGTAGGTATTCTTATTCTCACTTTATAGAGTTGGAGAAGTTAAGTAATGCTCTTATGGTCACACACAGCTAGAGTTGGGCTTCCAATCTAGGTCTTTCCTGATTCCAAATGTAATGCTCTTTCCACTACACCAAGGGAGGTGGGGGGAAGGGGAGAGACAATAACGGAGACAAAGCAAAGATGGAGGTGGAGGGAGGAAGGAAAAGAGTTGGGGAGTGGGAAATAGGGAGGATGTGAGAAATGTGGTGAGAGGGTCAGGGATGAGGAGATAGAGTAATTGGGTTTTTAGAAGGAGTGGAGAATGGGGAAAGAGAGGGATGGAAACTGGGGTTAGAAAATAGTTTGTGGTTGTTGGAACAGAAGAAATGAGAGATATGGAAAATAATAGGATAGGGATTAGAGAGGCAAGGGTGAGAGGGATTGGACCTAAGAGCATAAGGGCATAAGAGGAAGTTATTAAGAGGTTAGAGGAAGGATGGAGTGAGGAAGGATGGGAGAAGGCAGTTTGGAGAAGACAGAAAAAGGATGGCAAGGGAAGTGGTTAATAAGGGAATAGGAAGGGGGCAGTATGATACAAGGGAAAGAGAGCTGGGTTTCAAGTCAGAGGATCTAGGTTTGAATCCCAGCTCTGTTACTTCTGTGTGAGCTTGAGCAAGTCATTTTTCTGGACCCATTGGAATAGATAACCTCTATGGTCTCTTCCAGCTTCTTTGATCCTAAGAATGGGAGTAAGGGAAATGGAGGAATAGAAGGTAGGGATGGCCATTGAGAGAGTTAGGAAATAGAATGGATAGAGAAACGTGAAGGAAGCACTTCAAGTGAGAAAGCATGTGGTCTTAGGGAACCCAGGGAGCAAGTGGCAAGTGCATCTAAATATTAGGGTAGGGTGCCTTGTGATCCTTGGGGGCAGACACTGACAAGACCACAATATCTCTGCAATGTAAACTTCAGGGAACTTACTCCTTGGTTTAGAACTTGATTTTTTTTTTTAAGAAAAGGCTAGACTTTTGATTGTGTGGCATTTGGTCATTTCTTCCCCCTCCTTTTCTTCTTTCCTGAGCCACAATCCTTCCCTCTCCAACCACGATCTTTCCTCCCCTCCACTCCCCTCCCACCTCAGGCACATAGAGAAAGAAGCATAGTCTGTAAAAGATTCTTTGAGTGCTCAAACCTTAACTTCCAAGGAGATCAGTTCCTTCCATTTACTAACTTCAGAGGACCTTTGCCCTTAACCCACGGCTGGGAATTGCTATCTGTGACTCAAAGCAGCTGAGCTAGACAGCTGGATTGTTGTTCAGTTGTTTTTCAGTTATGTCCAACTCCCTGTGACCCCATTTGAGGTTTTCTTAGCAAAAACACTGGAGTGGTTTTCCATTTCCTTCTCCAGCTCATTTTACAGATGAGGAAACTGAGGCAAACAGGGTGGAACAGTTAGTGTCTGAGGCTAGATTTGAACTCAGGAAGATGAGTCTTCCTCACTCCAGGCCTTTCACTTTATCCACTGCACCACCTAGCTGCCCCAGACAGCTCAATAGTCTTCCCTGTAATTGTGATCCTGACCCCAAGATCCCCTCTCATCTTCACCGCCTGCCACTCAGCACAGACACCAAATGGGTTCTTCTCAAGTCAATTATTGGTGAGGTGGAAGAATTACAGATATATCAGTAGTAAGGTTCAGGTGATCACAAGGGCAATTAACACAATCCTAGCCAACAAAGACTAGATAGATAGTGCCAACCTTCTAGATAACTTCTATTTAACATTTTCTCAGGGATCATGATTCTTACAGCCTCAAAGCCTTCATCTCCTGAATGACCAGGAAAGAGAATGAGTCCCTAAAGTACCCCTTACCTGACCCCCACTCCCACCCCAGACTACCCATCTAAGAGTGGTCTAGGCAGTGTCCTTGGAGGAATTCTGAGTTGTAAACCCAAGCTCACTTTTAGTCAGAGAGAGAGAGTCTTGATACATGCAGATCTTGGTATTCTATCTACACCTTCCTATGTATCCACTAAGTCCCAGTCCAAAAAAAATTAATTTGATTCTAGGTTGTGGCAGTGGAAAAGTATCGAAAACAAGCAAGGTTATCAGCAAAATAAGAGTTGAAATAGATGATTTCTAAAATCTCTATCAGTTCTAAATCCTAAGATAATTACCTGCCCTGATCAGAGCACATCCACAATGTTGTGCTAATTTCTGGATGCCATATTTCAACACAAGCTGTGGCCTAAGGTCCTCAAAGGATTCTGAGTTTATATGGACTAGGTCTAATCACAGAG